CTTCCCTGAACACCATGGTCTAAGGAAAAGCAGCTGCCCCCTAGCTCTGTTAGGTCTTTATCATCTAAGCCAAACTATGGCATGTGATCTAGTTCTAGGCCAACTGGGATACCAAGAAATGCTTCTTTGCTGGAGAACTGGGGGTGGAGGACAGAGGGCATGCCCTCTTTCATTGGATGGTGTCTTGTCTGGATGTGACATTAGGCATAAAGTCATATAATTTAAGGGCTGTGAGGCTTCTTAACCTGGAGTATAAAGTTTACACTCCTGGAAGGGTGAGCTGGACAACAGAAAGAATCTGGGTCCTTTTTTTGTGTTACTGAGTCACTGAAATAAACAACCCTGGTGCTAGCTCAGCTCTTTTTGGGAAGTAGTGTTTTTTTTTCCTTTTTAAGACATTTGGAATTCAGTTTTCTATTCTTTGTGGCCTAAAAAGAGGTCCAAATATGTGCATTGGTGCTGGAAGTTTGTTCCCTAACTACAGCAGAATTTCCTTCTTTCCTTTTTTTTTTTTTTTCCAATTAATTATTATGTAGGCAATTTTCAACCCTGGGGTTTGCTCTGAGGCAACTCATATGTGGGCTGGAAGACTCAGCTTTTCTAACTATAACAGAGGAGAGCAATTTATTATTTGCTCAACTATAAATATTTAAACACGTACTATGTTTCAGATACTATTCTAGGAGCTGGGAATGCATGTGAGCAAGAGAGGAAGAAATCCTTGCTCTCAGGGTGTATATTTTACTGGAGAGGAGGATTGATAAATGATGTATTGCTTTCCTCATTTTATTTATCTTAAATAGTAATTGCTAAGGAGAAAAATGGGAAGGAGGATATAGGGTGTCCAGTGGGAGAGTTGAGTTTGAAGTCTTAGATGAGATGGCCAGTGAAAGCTTTACTGCGAAAGTGACTTAATTTTGTAAAGAAATAAAAAGCAAAGGAGACTAGCCCCTTGGATCTCTAGGAAGAGTGTTCCAGGCAGTGCACAGGCCTCCGAGGGAGCACTCCCGGCATGCCCACCCAAGGCCTCCGAGGGAGCACTCCCGGCATGCCCACCCAAGGCCTCCGAGGGAGCACTCCCGGCATGCCCACCGAAGGCCTCCGAGGGAGCACTCCCGGCATGCCCACCCAAGGCCTCCGAGGGAGAACTCCTGGCATGTTCACCGACGAGCTTGGAAGGCTGGGGATTCGCATCAGGATGGGCCTCACAGGCACTCTAAGGACTTTGGTTTTTACTTGGAGCGGTAAGGGAAACTATTGGGTGGGTCTGTGCAGAGAAATGAAATGTTTGTCTAAGATTTCAACAAGCTCAGTCTAGCTGCTGCGTTGAGAGTAAAGACAGGCAAGAGAAGAAGCTGAGAGCCCAGTTAGGAGAAGGTTCCAACTGTACAGAGAATACGGTGGTTATTTGATTCCATGGAGATAACAGAGGGCATTGTGAGAGGTGGTCATGTTCTGGTTATATTTTAAAGGTAAAGGTGACATCACTGCAAACAAGAATTAAGAAAGACACCAGGAAATCTGGCCTGATTAAAGGAAGAATTGAGTAGCCAGTTCTCAAGATATGGAAAGGACTTAAAGGGAGCAGGTTTTGGCACAGACCCTCAAGACCTACGTTTTGGACTTTTTAATTTGAGATGCCCACTAGATCTGCAATGCGGATTTCAAATGGTCAGTTGGATCCATATGTTTGGAGGTTAGGGGAATGATCCAGACTAGAGATAGATAATTGAGAATCATTAATTTACATAATCTAAAGCTATTGGTACTGGATACAATTATTCTGGGAATGACTGAAGATAGAAAAAAGAGTTCCAATATTTAAAACTTTGATAAAAATGGACCAGTTAGAGAGTGGGAAGAAGCATCTAGAAGAGCAGGAAGAAAATCAGGAAGTGTATTGTCTTAAAGACAAGAGAAGAATGTATTTCAAGATTGAGGCAGTAAACAACTGTGTCAGATGCTCAGAGATCAAGTCAAATGAGGACGGAGAATTGATCCTTGGCATCAACAGCATGGTGGTCATCAGCGGCTTTGGGAAAAACTTGTGGAGTGGTAAGGGTAACTGGAGTGTGTTTAAGAGGAATAGGAGAAGAGAAATCACAGATACCAAATACAGGCAGCCCTTTCAAGGAGTCTGGCTGTAAAGGCAAGAAATAGGGTATGTTTGGGAGAGCCTCGTGCAGAGGAAATGACTGAGAATAGGGCGAGGGGGCAGCGCTGCTCAGGCAACACCCGGGAGTAGGTATGAGGGGCTGGGTGCTGGCCTTTGCCCAGTGCATGAGTTATTCACCTGCAGCAAGAGAGGCAGGGTGGTAGGGGCGCAGAGATTGCTTCATCACATTCAGGATAAGAAGCAAAGTCCTCAGCAGACTGAGGAGGAGGGAAGAATAGCTAGAGGTGGAGGAAAGTAAAGAAAGTTTGCCTATTTGGTCAGCGTGTGAGAGAATGGACTAGGGAAATACGGCTCCGGAGTGGCTGTAAGGATCCCGTTGGAGGAGGGGCGGGGCCCCAAGCGCAGAGCGCGGCTTGCCGGCAGGAGTGTGCGCTTTTCTCCAGCTGCATTCAGCTGCAGGCAAGGGCGCATGGCCCAAGCAGACGGGGGCTGTAACCATGGTTGTGGGTTACCAAGCGGGTGAGAAGGGGGAAAGCAGCTAGGGGGTTGTCATTTAGATTAAGTTCAGATGATATGATGTGTTAGTCACTGAGTCACCACCACCCCTGCTCCCCCAGAAGCGATTTATAAACATCCAGTTATAGATGGAACATTGCTAGGACTTGTATAAACAGTTTACAATTTTATCCTGTACTGGCTATATAAACCCAGTAATAAAAATTATCTCACAGTTCTTGGTCATTCAAGACTTTGGGATAAATAAAATCACTTTATATGAAAACTGCAGCTGATCTTCTTTTAATATATCAAACATACCTTAGAAAACTTTTGTGCTGTAGGTTCATTTTTGAGGATCTGAATTCTCTTGTTGAAGTCAAAATAATTTGGGTATTCAGCTGGAGAGGCCCAACAGGAAGGTGGCTGCAAACTCCTGTACCTGTTCGTACACTGAGGGCCGAGGGGCCCACACAGGTGCTCTCTGACGTAAGAAGGGGTCAAAACTCCAGCGCCCACAGCAGCCAGCAGCAGCTAACAGGAGTGCAGCATCCGTGGGCCAGGTGCCCCCTACCACCTGCGCCCCGCCACGAGCAGCACCAGCTTTTCTGACTGTGCCAGAGTGCGCACAGGACGTGTGTGGCAGAACCTTGGAATTGTTCAAATGAAGCCAGAAATCATAACTTTTCTATGAAATACCCAATTTAAAAATGTTGGCAATATTAAAAAAAAACTAAAAACATTTTTTAATATAAAATCAGGAGATTGGCTTCTGTGGTAAAGCAGTAAAAACTTTTAAAATGTGAATCTTCTTGGGGTAAGATGACTTCTTAAGCTCAATTTTTATCAGAGGGAGAACATCTTAGCTTACTTTTGAGAACTGGTTTTGTTTGATAGAAAAGTAGGAATACTGTAAGGACCTCGTGTGGCTGTATCAGCAGCCAAGGTGGCCACTTGGTCTAATCTGCAGTTGTTCATTATCAGTTTACACAGTCTCACTTTTTTTTAGTCTGACAAACGAGAACATGAAAACTGAAACATTCGTAGGAGTAAAATTTTATTTAATGAAATCAAAGGTCATGCCTTCTATGTTTACCCTTACTTTATATATAATGCTTTTCTATTTATACAGAGATTCAAAATTTTGGGTACTTCTGGGTAATGATTCCTTGAGAATTTTTCTGGAATGTACTGATTAATTCCATTTCATTTTTCCTGTTTCTGGTTAGATGACTACCTCTATTTCTCATTTTCTTGCTGTGATGCTTGATAAATCCTTTGGACTATCAGTATACCTACATAAAGAGAGCAGTTCTTGGCAAAAAAAGGGTGGTCTGCTTCTCTGAGAAGGACTAGTAAGGACAAATGGGAATATCAACAACTACTGGTGATGAGACCTGTTAACAGCTGCTGCCATTTAGTATCAGCTACCAAATAGTCTTCTAGGTACTCTGTACCCATTATCGCTAATCCTCACAATAGCCTTATTAAAAGTTGGTATGTTCTCATTTTACACATGTGGAAACTAAGGTTCAAAGGAAAAGGCAACTGCTTAGAGCGGCAGAGATAATAGTGACAGGCCTGGGGTTAATGTTTGGCTCTGAGTATATCTTGAGGTTCCCATTTATGGTCTGGCCACAGTTCAAAACTATTAACTTCTCCCTTCCTGGTCCTCATGTGAGTTTAGAGATGCAAAGATGATTATACAACTCTCACCCATAGAGGCATTATACCCTAGAACAGGAGACACAAATAAAAATGTACCTTCAAAGCAGTGTGGTTAGCAGGAGAGGTAGATGCAAACTAGTAGGTGAGCACTGTGGGAGGGAGCGCGCTTCGAGCGTGGTTTGGGGAGGGCTGCTGGAATGCACAGCACTCTGCATTGAATCAGTAAGAGGCTGATGAAGGGGAAGAATACAGGTAAGGAACTGTATGTGACTGACCAACATGAACAGATGTGTAGTGCTCTTAGTAAATGGAGAGATGTTGACTATTTCTGTGCACTCAGACTGAGGAGCAGCAGGAAGGAGATAATGTACTTGCCTTTATACTGAAGGTAGCCCTCAAGTGTTGTACAATCTGATTTGGGCTAAAAAGGGAACATCCTAGCAGCCATGTGAAGGATAGATCAGAGGGCACATTTAGAAACTTTAGGACTCTTGTTTTAACTCTTGTTTTCAGAAAAATTTTCCTAGGAGAGAGTATTTTGTGCATACAGTAAGTTGCTGTTAGAGACCAAGTACATTCTTAAAAGGAAGTACAGCTCGATAACTTTACATCAAATGTCAAGTACTGATGAGAGCCCAGCAGGACGCACTGGTGTCGGCCCTGGTTAGCACCTTGTGTGCATATGTACAGTACCTCTTAAGAAATGAAGATGGACACACTGTCAGCAGAAATCACAAATTTATTAACTCTTAAATATATCAATCAGTCATTTACCATTATGGCAAGAAATATATACAGTGTCCCATGGTAATCTGCAGTGTTTCAAAATGATAGAAGATAGTAAATGTGTAATCAATTGTGGTGGAGAGAACAAATCACAATTTCCTCACAACTTAGTGCGGAAGACAAACTTGATCTACAGTAATATTTCAACACCACATGCTAAGTTAAAAGTGTAAAAAAAAACACTCTATACCTATTCTTTTTTTAAAATACATGTATGCCACGTATAGCCATTTCACAAAAAGGTTAAGAAATTAAAAAGGGAAAAAATGAGGCCATTACTTTTTCACAGATCTCATTGGCAGGTTTACATGGCTCAATACATTACTGTATATATTTATTTTAAATATATATTGTTTTAAATTGTGTAATAATTATCAGAAAAGCTTCAATCCAACTACCATACATCCACTAGCAATAACATCGAATGTGATTAGTAATCAACACAGAAAGGTGAAAATGAGAGAAAAAAGGGAGGTTTTCTTTTGTTTTTTGCTTCTGCTTTAAAAATAGGCTTCTGAGGATTGTGAATTGCTATTGTTAAAATAAGGTTGTTGCAGATAACATGCACTATAAAGCATTTCAGGGATGAGAAAAAACCCTCACTGGAATTGAATAAACAAAGAAGAAATGAGAAGCACAACCCACCCCCACCCTTTTTTATAAACTGGAAAAATCCTAACTCCTCGATGGAAGATAATGTTACCCTGACACAAGAGAGAAGTTAAGAAAGCACAAGTCACAAGGAATGGAAAACATTTGCAGGCCTAACTTTAGAAAACTAGCCAGTGATGACGCAGGAGGGGCCCCTTCCACAAGGCAGATATCCACACATGTGCACAAAACCCCGACCCTCTACCAGCATGGTATTCTCCCGGCAACTGCCCCAGTCAGGAAGAAACAGTGCAGGGGCGCTAGGAACAGACTTGCTTCTGTCCTAAGTTTGAACACCTCTAATGCCTCCAACATAGTCTGGATCCCTATATCCAAACTAGAGCTTAAGCAGAATTAAAAACCTTTAAAATCTTGACATTTTCAAAAATGCTACCTCCAAAGTTTAGTTACCTCCAAAAGGCCTTGATTTTTATTTTACTTTCATTATGCAAATCTTAGTTTTCTCACACACTAACAGATAAGAAGAAGACAAAGAATGGAAAAAAACAGAAAATAGAATAGGTAGCAAGCAAGAACAAAGAAATAGGATAAGAAGAAGAAAACAGCACTGGTTTGTGGAAGGAACAAAAAATTCATCTCAGTGAATCCCCCAGACAGTGTGAGTATACCCAAAATGATCAAACTCAGAAATAATGTGACATTTCCAGTTTACACAGTTTGACCAAAAATGACATTAGATAGTAGCAAATCAACTGATTCTCACCTCCACATTCCTACATGATTTTCTCACATATCAACCCATTTCATCAAACAATAACAAAGCTTTCAGTGAAAAGACCATTTTCAACCAGGATCACACCAGGGAACTGAAGGTTTTTTTCTTTTCTTTTTTACCTTTTTTGGTTTAAGAGCCAAAACAGATTAACACCAAAGAGTTTTAAAAATTTTACATTTCTCTTACAATTTTGAGACCATAATTTTGAAGTCTGTTATATCTTGGCATGAACAGAGAAACTTGATGAAAAGGTTGTACTTGGAACATTGTGGAATATTTTTGTCTGACCTCCCCTTACTGTTTGCCAACAGTAATTTAAGTCTGCACGGAACATCCCCAGAGTTGAAGTGTAAACAATGTATAGGAAGGAATATGTGACAAGATGATGTATCACGTATGCATTACATGTAGGACCTTCACAACTTCATGCATTCAGAAACATGCATGAAGAGGAGGAGAGGACGGCCCAGGGTTACCATCCAGGTGCCTTGAGAACAGAGAATGCAGAAGTGGCACTGTTGATATTTAGCTGAAAGGAGAAAGTGGAGAGGGAGAAATGAGTTACACTGTTTTACAAAACATTGTCAAATTGTTTTGCCAAAGATGTGACTAGGCTACAATTCTATAACTCAGCTAAATTAATAGAATATTAATATATGAGACATACTGGCAATCATCAAAAGGTAAAATATACAATGTTAAACAGAGACAATATTAAAACAGGAAATCAGTATGAATTATCTGTCAGTTTGTCCACACAGAGCTAGCTGAGACAGGGACTCAGGGCTCAATCACATTATTCAATCTAGATGAGTATTTTAAGCATTCATGCTTCCTAGACAAATTAATAAATGAATATTATCATTTGGTTGAAGTTGACTAAAATTTTAAGTTCATCCTTAGCTTTTGTCATTATTCTTTAACTTCTAGGTTTGATTTCTCAGGGAGTCTATTTAACAAGGATAATAGCCTCAAGTAGCCTCTTTTTCTTTAAATCAACAGCTGGGAGCACTTGTTCTTAAAAGCTCTGACAAGGTTCAATGCTTTGAATGGGGAAAATATTCATAATGGCATCTGAATCCTTCTAATCAAAGTACAGAAACAACACAGGCATGAATTTAATTACAGTCAACTTCCAATTATCCTCTGGAATTACCCACTTTGTGAGTTTTAAATTTCAGCTTCACTTCCTCCTATGGCCTGTCCTCATGGTCAAATACCATTATACTCAGTCAGGCACAGCAAATTAATTCATATTAACCTTAGCCAAGTATGTAACAGGAATTGTAACCTCCTGAAAAATAAGACACCAAAGGATCCTAGAACTTGATACAAATTAGGCCTGGGTAATTGAGAGTTGTCTGAATGGACCTAGATGTAAATGGCCTTTGATGTAAGAACCCCTAGACCCTCTAAAGTGCCACAGCCCATATGCAGAAGACAGGCTCTTCTCAGTGCTTATTCCCTTTTAAGTAAGAGTTATGCTACAAAAATGGGGCCAAACATTAGACTCAAGAGTTCATGCAAAAAATGTGAAATTTCAAAGACCTTTTATGTTTTTCATTGAATATAATGCAAGAGAAAATACCCTCAAAGGGAAGAAAAACAGCCATGCAGCTTGGCAGTCGTTAGCTCCATTCACAGAGTATCGCGGAGCAGGATGTTACTTACAAGACCCACATGGGAATGGTTTTCAGGCCTTAGATGTTTTGCCACAAAGAGGTGCTTCCTGAGTTTTCTTTCCCATTTGGAATACAGGATGGCCTATTAAGAGAAGCCCCACTTAAGCCAGCTGGCATAAAATGAAGTTTTCTTAAATAGGCTTCAGGGAACTGTAGAAGAGCCTACCCCTCTTGTACTGTATGAATGTCATCCCCTCTATATGAACTGGTGATTTGTGTGTACCTCTTTGGGGTAAAAAACAGACACAGAAAAATGGTGTCTTCATTATTATATTCCTTTTGTCTTTCTCTTAATTACATAGATTCAAATTCATTCTAAAAACAATAGCTATCTTTTTTTTTCCTTGCTGACCCACTTTTCACAATTCCAACAGTGATACATAGTTATTAAGGCTATAGAGAAGGCCTTTGAAAATCACTGTGGTACATTATTAAACTAAGATTTTTCATTAATTCATTGGAGTTGAATGGCTGTTTGTATGAACGTGACTCCCCATCTCATACTCCCAAATATTAACAGGTGATCCTGGTAAGAGAATTTGGAACAAGATAAGCAGTGGGCCAAGCTTCTACTGAGCCTACTAAGCTCCCTTTCTTGTTTTCATCTCACCCCACTTCACTGAATCAACTTTATTTCCCATCAGTCTCTTTACTCCAGCCGGAGCCAGCCTTCCATACCCACAATCCTCCAGGGAGCTAACCCTGGCATTGAGCTTCTCAGATGTTTCTTGAGCTTGAACCATCTTCCCTTTGCTCTCATCTACTTATCATTTAAGAGCTTGTGCAAGGTATATGCTTCTACACAAGGTGTCCTTCCAAACTATTATAAATGGTTTGCTACACTGGTCATTTATTCTAGTCTACTCCAAAGGTGACTATGAACTTTACAGTTTTCTCTTTGATAAGTTGTTTTCTAAACTAGAATACAAGTTCCTTGAAGGCAGTGTCTTTTAAATTACCTTGCATTTTGTCTGGCACAAGCTAAGCATGTTGGAGATACCCAATAAGTTTGTCTATTGATTAGAAGAGCAAACATAGTATCTGAGGTAGCGTGGTGTAATGAGAAAGACACTGAAATGCCTGATATTTGCATTTTAAACACTGTATCTGTAACTGAGCTCAGTAGATCATCTATAAGATAAGCTCCTGCTATTGGCTGTTACAGAAATTCCTTCCTATCCCCCCTTGCTGCCCTAAGCCCTTTCCCCTGCCATTGGTAACAATGAAGTCAGTTTGCCTTATTTCTTGATCGCCATGATTTAACCTTCAGAGAAATCAGCTTGGCAGGATATCCTCCAGTTTCTATTCAAAATATTTGCATACTGTACTATGGCCGGTTTCAACCCACAGATGGCTGGTCTGATTGATTTTTCTAGAGAATTATAGACCATCTCTCATGAAACACTTATTCCCACCAACGTAACAGACCACTAGCATGAGATAACATGTGCCATGCTATTAACAATGAAGTAAGTAAAAGAGGCTGACTGTGGGCACATTAACAAAGAAGCTGACAGCCTGGAAATATTTACTTGATGGGTACTGTTGGCGACCCAGAGCGATGAAAATGAACATTCTGCCACTTTCCATCCCGGCGGTGCCACACCCGGGTCTCTTCTGACTGCATCGTCTTTGGCATCCCGCTGCCATCCATGTACTGTGTGAGTCTAATGTATGCTATGCAGGCAGCATCGTCACCAACCAGATGTACGTGCGGGTTCAGGATGATAGTGTGGATTGGCTTATTGCTTTTGGACAAAGCTGGAAGAGAAAACCATGAAATAACAGAACTTAGTTTCCATGTAAAGTAAATCAAAACCAGTAACTTCTGCTGGGGTCAATGAATGGAATGTTGTTCATTCACTTAATCACTAATTATTTGTACAACTTGAATGCCTGGCATGGTTCAAAGTATAAAGGCAAAGAGAAAGAGCAAAAGTAGGTGCATTCATTATTTTATTTGATTCCCTTTATAGACAACTTGTGTGTCACTCTGGAAACTTTAATTGCTTGGGGAAAAGCTGGAGATACGTATTTATTTACAATGAAAAATGGTTAGCAACAGAAGCCATAATATGAAGACGAAGGGAGAAGGCCTGACCCAGGTGCGCAGAGCGGTTGCTGTCTTCCTAATGAATGAACCCCTGGAGCAGCTGACAGGATATCCTGTGGTCAAGTCGTTTTTGTTAGCTGGTGAACTACATGGGATAGGGAACTAGGTCAAGTGTCAAGCATGGAGATCACTGCCTCCAAGAGTCTGGCCATGGCATGAATTTGTTTTCCCACCTCCTCCTGTGACTCCTCTTCTTAGTGAAGTACATTCTATGACAGACCAGTTGTGATCATCCAGGAAAAATGTAAAAGTTGGCATTGGCTAGAGAACCTAGAGGTCCTGATCCTCTAGCTCTCTCCTGTGACCGAGCAGCAGCCCTCATCAGGCTCTAGCCTTTGGCACTTTGACCAGTCACCCATTCTCATTATTCAGTGACCAAGAGATATAAAGTTTTTCGATGGCCTGAAGATTTCTTCAGGAGTTTCTTTTGTCACTTTCTCTGAAGTGTGGCTATTTCCTCTGAGGCCACTAAAATTCGTGTAATTTGAACTAAAATATTTTTCTGATCACTCACCTTCATTTACATTTTACTTCGAAAATGAGTGCTGAATATGACTGAAAGTACTCCACTATGTCAAAAATTCCAGCATTCTGTGGTTTCTTTTGTTTTTTCTATACATAAATATTTTATAAAAACTCAAAATTTTTCATAATTAATTTTACAGGTCATAGCATATATTTCTGGGAGTTATATGGATGTATTCAATCAACACTACTTTTTATACAAAATTGGTTATTTTTTGAAACACCAAAACTTTTATGCCTATCATACTGTTTCATTTCAAATAAAAAAAATTTTTATGATGCAAAATACTGGACTAAGGTAAAAAATTCTCATTGCAGAAAAGAGCCAAATAATCTGCAAATTTTGGAGAAATTTAAAGAGAAGTTAGAAAAGCTATGTCATTAAATTTAGATTAAATATACCATTTTCAAAGTAGAACCGATGAAAGTCCATCCCTTCCACTAAATTACCCAAAGCTTCAGGCTCAAAAGCAGTAAGACCCGGGTCACAGATTTTTCTGTAGGAAAAAAAATAATGAAAATAACCAATAAGTGAGTTAATGAATTTTGTTGTTTCATACATATCCACTCTTATTTATTAAATAGTAAGAAAGGAAAGTCTCTAGAAAACACCAACAATATAAAATTTCTACCCAGGCCTTAGCAAGGTATGTGAGGCTGACTCTGAAATGCTTTTGCAAAGAACTTTGATAGGGGTGAGGTAGTATAACCAGTTCTGGCAGATGATATGATAATCCACAATACTTTGAGTCTCCTTTTAAATACATTTTTTATTTCTAAGGTAAATTCTCTGTAGTTTATCCAGTTTTTCTAACTCTGAAGTTTATTTTTTAAATGCCAACGTCCAAGTCCAAAACACTAACCAAGTCCTATAAAACCAACTTTGGCTCTGAAATTGAACACTTTTGTAATAATTTTTGACACCTTCTACATTCATGTCAAACATTATTACGATTTGAAGGCAGGTGTCATATCCTATACTTCCAGGCAGTATTCACAAAACTTAATTAAGCTTGTGTTAACTATTATTTAGCTTTTAAAATAAAATTACTGAGAAGTTCACATGTATACATTAGTTTTCTTTTTAATCCTAGAAATATGATTCAATAAAGAGAGATACCATTTTAAATATTGGGAGAAAGAGAAGGGGCCAAGGAGCTTTCTTTGGAAAAATTTGTTTATCTAAAAAGAATTCTTTGACACAAACACTTATAACACAGCAATTAATATTGAAATAGAAATCAATACAAATTGCTCACAAACCAGGCTGAAGAGAAAAAGTGAACTGGAGTTTTAGGAATGAGTAGGATTTTCTCAGGGGTGTGGAAGGTAGGAGGCGGGAGGACAGCAAATGAAATGGGGGGGCACTGCGAGCATGCAGGGAACAGGATGGTGGTCACTTAGATGTGGTGAGCACTGCACACCTAAGTCCCATGGACACACTGGGCAGGCGGCGGGGGGACATTTCCTTGGGCCCATGGTGATCAAGGCAGACTTCCTAGAGAAGGTGACGTGAAGTCTGGACTTGAGGAATTGCTGGAAGTTCACGAGGAGATAAAAGGTACACAAATTTAAGAATTCTGGACTGTTTATTAATTTAATGGGCCACACCAAAAAATCTTGCCTATTTGGGAGGCAGACATTTTAACTGTTCAAAAGAAACACAAGTTTCAAAAGGCTAACTTGTTATGGTCCTTTAAAGTATTGTTCATGGGCTGTGGAACTGATATTTCTTAAGAATACTTTTAAAGTAGAGAATACTTTTACAATAAAAATAACCACAGTGGTTATTCTTTGTGGTGGAGTGTGGGGTTGGGGGAAGTGGGTAGAGATTTTACACTTCACTTTAAGACCTGCTGGTGGGCAGGTATTTCAGGCTCAAAGTCAAATGTACCTAATCTCTTTCTAAGAGCAAAGTTGGGAGGAAGAAAAGTGTCCCTATGTTAACAGAAATGTATTCTGTCAGGGGCTATTACTTCCTATAGACTTCCGGTTGTCAACATCAGTGAATCAAAACTTTTTACTACCTTATATTGGCACTAAAATCAAGAACTGCTGTGCAATGATGGATCATTTTACCCCAGCATCTAGAGAGTCAATATACTTGAAAACCTGTTACACTTTTCTTTCTCTCTCCCGTGTATGTGTATATGTATGTATCTCCTGTCACAGGTTTTGGGTTAAAAGATTCACAAGGCCACCACATGACATATGTGTTTGTGTGTTTGTGTGCACATGTGCGCTCTCAACAGGTGTTCTAAGCACCAGATGACAGAGCTTTACCAGTACATTCTACCATCCCACAAGCTCCCAAATGGAAGGCCTGTCAGATTACCCCTGGGCCTGAATGTACAAAATCTGGCCAGATTACAGGCCTTATAGGCAAGGGAATTAGTGAACTGATGTGATTCCAAAGAATTGCATTATTTAAAATACCCTAATGTTAAACTGTCTGAAAATAAAGGAAATAAGGCACATTTGCCTAGATACCACCCAAACACACTTTTTACCATTCTATAGGAGAGTGCTCTTTCAAAATATCTTTTTTTTAAAGAGAGTATTGTGTTTCTGGACTCATGAGTCTAACAAAGTTGTATCAGTAAAAAGAAACAAAGAGAGCAGGGTGACGGCATGAGTTCTAAACTGTTTGCCAGGGAACCTGTCTCTGACAACAAGGAATGTTCTTTTAAACTCCATTTCTTTCATTCCAAATATACTTTATGAGGTCACGTTAAAGAGTTGATACACACATGTACTTACAGGTGTATATGCATGTGTTTGTATGTATAGTCACACACAGTTTATGAGAAGCAGTCCTGGATTTAATTTAGTTTGTACATTTAGTTCCTCTCTTACATATTTTATATTTGGCATGCTATTTTATCATAAAAGTATTACCTTCTTATTATATAAAAGTTGGAAAGAAGCAGGAAAAAAATTCACACATAATTTCATCTCCTAGGGGCAATGTTTTTTTTTTTCCTTTTTAGAATCAGTTTGGCATATCTCATTCCATTTTTATTGCACTCTTAGGTAGTTGGAATAATGATGTACACATACTTTTATATCCTGCTTTATCCTCAGTGAATGCATCATAAGTATTTTGCCAGATTTCTAGAGACTCTGCATAAACATGCACTCTACTAAACGCACCACAGATTACTTAATGGTTATCATGTTGCATATGTAAATCTCTAGTTTTTCACTATTATGAATATTGCTTCAGTAAATATCTTTGTTCATAATTTTTGTCCATGTTTTAGATTAAAAAATCTAAGCTCATGTTAAATTTTTATACGTAGTTATAGGATTAAAGTAATTTGAACTTTTATAAACCCTTTCTGGTGATATAAAATAACTAGCTAACCCATCAGCCCCGGCCACCACCACCACCGTGAAAGTCTGCCTCCATTTATACTTCACGCAGGGGTGGAAGAATGTCAGCATCATCCTGTAGTACCTGCACCTCTCTGATCGTCAGCAGGGTTTGTACTCCTGCTGATCTAATTAGCCGAAAATGCTGTTGCATTCAAACTTGCATATACTTAATTAGTGGGCCTGGGCATATTTTTTGCTGATAGTTCATGTCCTTTACCTATTTTTTTACTATTTGATCTTATCCACTGAATATAAATTAACCTCTGACATGTTTTGCAAGTATTTTTCTGTTTGTCTCTTAGTTTTATTTTGGCTTTTTTCATTAAATTATACAAGTTTCATCTATTTACGTGGCCTGATCACTTTATCTCATTTGTGATCACCTCATCTGCTTTTAAACTTAGAAAGATCTTTCCAACAAGAGATCAGATTCAATCTCTCTTTAGCAATTAACTCTTTCATTCAAGAGGAACTCCCCTGTATGGTGTAAGGGGAAGGCTTAGGTTTTTATCTCTACCCAAATAGCTACTTACTGACCCACATCCTTTGTGCGATAAGCCTACATGCCCTATTTATTTGAATGCTTAAGTGTTATTTGATTGAAGTGACTTCCTTTATGTACCCTATGATCCAGTAGTTTACCAACTTTAAATTAAGCATTAGAACCCCTTCTTTAAATAAAATCTTACTTAAGAGAAAACTCATAAAAGAGATGAAGATAAACTTGTGGTGCGCTGGCTGAAGAGGGAGAAGGTTGCCTGGTGTCACCTCTTAATCTCTTTCTCTGTACCAGCACCTCCGCAGAACTGTAAAGCAAACCATTTCTTAAACCGAAATGCACTTTTTAGGTGCTTTCCTGTTTCTTGTGTCTTTGCTCTCATGGATTGCTCTGCCTAGACTGCCTTCCTTTATATGGAGGGGTGGGGTGGTTGCCGTTCTGTATTTTGACAAATTCCCAATCCTCATACTAGAAGTCTTGTCTTCTGTCTCTGAAATCTTAAATATATTTCTTTCTTTCCTGGGATCACTTAAATCATTTGTAACTTGAAATAAGATATTATTGACATATCAAGCCTGGGGCTTAATATACATGAATTTCAGTACACCGAAGAATGCATTCAGATAGAAAATACTTTGCTGTATGCAAGAAAGCAAAACATAGGTGCTTCTACTCACGTGTATGCTTCAAAGTCCCCATTGTTGATAGCTTCAATCAGTTGTTCAGTGACTTTGATAATCTCTTGCTTTCGTGCTAAAGGCAAAGATAGATAGGGTTGGGTGAAAATAAAGGACAAAAGCCATATAAAATATTACTCTAATAATATTACTACTTTCATTGAACACAATACTACCAATTAAGACACATCCCACACGGAGAATGGGGTTATTCTCTTTACAACTTTGTTGCTCAAAGTGCCAACCAAATGTCATTTACCTATCCTGGGAGGCTGTTAGAAACACAGATTCTCTGGTCCTACTCCAGACCTATGGGCTCAGAATCTGCATTTTAGCAGGACCCTCAGGTAATTCCTGAGCACATTCAAATTTGGGAAGCACTGCTACATTTCACCTGTTAGAAAACAACAGTTAATCTGCAAGGTCAAGCCTGTATTTGTATAATTAATTCTTAAACCCTTCATCAACATGGTTGAGTTTGTGAACAATTTTTTCTTAATCATTAACAAATTTATGTCTATCTTCAGGGTAGAGAGGAAACCTTGCATTGAGACATTTATCTTTACATATTTGCATTTTTTTTGCCATTCAGTTCAACCAACTCTACAAAAGAGGACACCAGCCCTATAACTGCCATTTAGATAAACAGTCTTCCCCAAAGCTGTCAACTCTAACACCAAACATGACTTATTTCTATTCTTGGCCCACATTTGGTAAAATTATTAATAGTTGGCTTGGCTCAAATCCTACCTATTGGCCAAATTCTTTTTGGATTACATCTGCCTCAAGTATTCTTTCCTGCTTTTGAATGACAAGGGTATCATTCCCTTGGCAATGAAGCACATGCTATATATCATGACAACTTTAGTTAAATGAAATTATTATTTGTTTAACATTGTTATTAAACATTGTTCACTGTGTAACCTGTCTTACTAGTTAAATTTAAAAGCTCCCTGTGGGCAAAAGATATGTTATTTCTTTGTATCCTCTAAAAAGCTTTAAGTAATACCTTTTATAAAACAGATGCTTAATAAGTTTGTGAATTTGATCAATTGATATTAATATCCTTTTGATTTCAAAACACTACTGTCTTACTAATGAAAGTAATGCATGAAATATTTTTAAAATAAAATTTTATTGAATTTTAAGAACATTGTGACACTTAAGTCGCTGAAAATAAACTGGAGAAATCTTAAGTTACTTCCATTCTATCTTACTGAGACTACTCTTCATCACAGAAAAAGCTGGTCTGGTTTTAGTTCATTAATTAAAAGCAATCAGTTTTCATTTTAATTAATCAATCTTCATTAAACAAATTTTAACCAAACTTAAATATTTACCTTCATTTTCAGAACTCCAAGTTATGATCTTCCTGTTTTAATAAATGTTCTGTAAACCTAACTTGACTTCACCGAGACTCTGTGAAGCTACCTCACAAAATGTTTGCTAATAATGTCAAGGTCAATAACAACAAAAATGACATAGATTAGATTTCATGTTTAGCTAACTTTAGTTAACTTTTAACTTTCATTTATATTAAGGAAAACAATAGCATAGGGTTTATTAGCTCCTACACACATATCAAACATTTCTTGCCCTTGTTTGTTTGATTGATGAGCATCTATAATACATCAAATATACTGACCGAAGTAGCGGGGAATAATTCCGCAATAGGGATGCTGCCAATGGCACATTTTAGCTGAATTTAGTTAGGCAGTAAATGATTCATCTGCCTGTGGCCTCAACAGTATGAGCATTTGGCAAAAACACATGACAGCTGACTCAATTCTAGAGTATAAAGGACATTGGTGTAGAGGCACTCAGAAAATGAGATTAGAAAATCTGACTACCCAAACTTCCTCTTCATATTCAATCCTTGTTTAAAGCTAACAGATTTTTTAGTATGCTATATGGCTAGTAGGAAAAACTACAGTTTAGACAACAATGTCAACTAAGATCAGTGCCCTTGGTAGAAGTTCACTAGGCTAAGACTCAGTTTGCAGTGTGAGAAGTTCAGAGTGACTTTCTGAAGTGTCTGAACGTCTGCCTTCCCTCATAAGCATCATGTAGAATTAGGAACCTTGGTGTATATGGCCATCTCTCACTCTGAACCACTGTGGAGATGCTCAGTAGCTCTTCAATAGCTTGCATGCTACAACTGGCTTAATTTTTGTCTTGTGTAATCATAGCAATGCAAACTGCTGTCTCTTTTAGATCTTCTGCTCAGAAATGATGGTGCTTTAGTTGGCAGGACAGCAAGTGGGAATTAGCCAGGATGCTTCTGTGCTGCATCATCATAAAAGCAACATGATTATCTTGGCTTAGGAGGCCCTGGAACTCAGGAATCTTTAGAGTGCTTCTTTCCCTGGGGCAAAGGAGCTTGAGTGAGTCAGGGGCAGCACATGACAGCTGGCTCCTGAAGGGAAAGCAGAAGGCTGGAAGTGAATCATTTGTACAGAGTAGTGTATTGTGGTTGGACCTGTGGCCACAACCTAGAGGAAGAGTGAGGCTTTGGTGCTAGTTAGCTCTACTCATTGCAAAGAGGTGAAGACACATCACTGTGCTGGGTGCCTGGATGCCTGTGTTCCATAGGGAGGGGCTGCTACCATCTAGACTTCCCACTTCCCTGGGTATCAGGTAATGGCCACTCTAGAAATCAAAGTGGGGTAACTTGTGATGTATCACTAATTACATCTGAGTGATGCATGAGTGGACCAGTACAGCATTCTCTGAATAGCAGAATATTCTTTCATCCCTTAGTTAGCCATTTAATCACAGGGAACTGATAACCCCGCAGTTTTATTTACAGAACTGAGGTGCTCAAGCCTATACCCACAGGTCCCAAAGTGGTTTCTGGGGACATCCAGGTTTCCAGGTGAAAGGCAGGAGAGAATAGGAAGTGGAAAGGATGTTCCAGATTCTGGGTGTAATCACTTCCCATGCAATTAAGCAAAAGAACCAGGAATGTTACCATGTTTGAATCATATTTTGGGGCTCCATTATTATTCTCAAGGGGGTCTGGACAACTGAGGTAAGTGTGTGAATGGTCCCTGTGCTTAAAACAAAAAACTTCTGGGAACTGAGAGTAATTATGTAATAAAACAATTGATTTCAACATTTCTCAAGCATTACCAGATCTGATCATCACAACAATGCTCTGAGATAGGCAGACAAGCATCATCTCCTTAGCACATAAGTATGGAGATTATAGGCACCCCCAAAGGCACAGACCTTTCTACTCCTTCCCTCCATCTTGAAATCCCCTCCTTTCACCTCTCTGCTCCTGTTCTTACCAATTATCTGAGCTCATAATCTCACTCTCATTTGCCATGTTACTTTTTTCTACCTGGACTTGAAATGTTTCCATTCCTTTTAAAGACTCCATTTGAGGTCCTTATCTCACCATACATCGTATTTCTACAAGTGTTTTAAATTGCATTTATAGCCCAATGACTCCCAAATTATTCCCTCTTTTCTAGTCCTTTTCTCCATGTCTGTGGGTCAATGCCTACTTTGGAATCTATATTTAGGTATTTCAAATTCATCTTGAACCCAACACACCTTAAACTGAGTTTATGAAGTTCTACCACCACTGACCATTTGCTCTTCCAGAGTTCCATCCTGGTGAACGGCAACGTCATTGAGTTGGTTTCACAAACCAGAAAGAAACCTGAGATTCACCTTTGACTCCGACTCCCTCATCCCACCCCTCCTATACAATCTTTCAAGTCCTGTTGACACTACCTTTTAAATGCCATACAAATTAGTCCATTTCTTTCCTTCTTCACTATCACTGTGGTACAGACTCAATCATTTCTTGTCCAGAACAAGTATGTGAAGACAGACTATGAAATCTTGTATAAATTAGACCCATTCAAAGGCTCTTTTACTTTATCCTCTCCACTCCACCCATATTGCCTTCTCTCAGAAATTCAAAATGACCATGTTTCCTATTGCCAGCCCTTCACACATGCTGTTCTCTCTTCCTGGAAAACTGTCCTCTCTCTTTGCTACCACCTCTTTTATCAGACCTCAACATTATTTCTTAAAAAAAAAAAACAACCCTTACCTGACTCTCATTTTAGGAGAGGTCCTCATGTTTTATAGTCACACACATCCTACATCTGCTCTTTAAAAGTACTTCGTATGCTTGCATTTACATATTTATTTGTGTGTATTTGACTACCCAGTCTTCTTTATTGTTTTATAAGCTCCATAGAGGCAGATAACCTCACCAGTGCAACCTGGTGTCTAGCACAATACATGGCATATAGCAAATGTTTAATAAAAATTTGAATGAATAGTGCATCCAAACACAAGTGCTTTCTGACTCCCAATCCAGTGGCCTTCCAACAGATGGTACTACATTTTTCAGTGATGATCAGATAGTCTTTAAAAAATATACAACTGACAAATGCAAACAACTGAGATAAAAAGCAGCACGCCTCAGTATTTGCTGACAATGAAAGAAAATACTTTTCAACTTGTCTAAAATTGGCCATCAAATGCCATTCTCTTCCTGACTTCCTCATTTTTGCTAATGGAACCACAATCTCTCTAGTCTCCCACATAAAATCTTGGATTTCTTCTAGACTCCACTCACTGCTTTGTGCTCCATAGTCAGTCGTGCATGAGTTGTGTAATTTTTATTAGCGGTTATGATGATGTTTCCTAGGGTACCTCCTCAGTCTCTTCATTTCTTCTGCTGGCCCTTGGCAATCTTCTTCATTCCTCTGGCTTCAACCATACACCGAAGACAGCCAAATCTCTACCGCTAAGGATAAATCTTTCTGGGCTCTGAAGTCTGTGTTTCTAACTGCATTCTAAACATCCCCGTTGTCCTGCCACTTCAGGCCTACTAAGGTTCCCAATACTAACCTGAAGTTTCTTCCTCCCCAAAACTGCAAGTTCTCTCATACTTCTCATCTCGGATAGAGGCCTTACAACCTTATTAGTGGCCCAGACTTAAAGCCTGGACGCTTCCTTTCTTCATACACTCATCACCAGCCACTCTTCCTTCACCCAAATCTTTCCCAGACCCACTTCTTTCACTTTGGGCTCCTCGCCACTGCTCCT